TTCCTGAGCAACAGATATATACTGATTATATACGTCTTAATACATCGCCATCTGTTCAAGAATAAAGTTCAATGTAAATATATACTATTTAAATACTAATAAAGTGGGGGAATGTATGCTTTCATCAGTGTTTTATGATAAACGTGACTCAACATAACATTGCGACTACAGTAAAAAAGCTTTTACTGTTCTAAAAACACAGAAAACTCTCGAAACGCTCTCGCGGTGCTTTGATGCCACACGTGACAGTGACATGGCGTCGGCGCCGTCTCAAGTCGGACAGAATTACTAACTGGCATGCACTGCTTCAAGTCAGATTGCGATCGATCTGCGCAGTGCTGCATGTGTGTCCTTTCGTCACACAATCCTGTCACACATCATACCTTTAATATAAATTGGATAAAGAACTGTATTAATAAGCCCTCATCTATAAGGAATCTGATCCCTAATGTTATTTTTTTTCCAAACTAGGAGGTTTAAGTTTCTTATTAATGTGTAATTATATCCCTGTCAAATTATCCCTTTTTTATAGACAATTGTTATTAGCTTGGTTGGATTCTGGAAATATAATTTTGTGTATTTTTGGTGAATTTCTGAAATATACAAATCTATATACACTGTAAAATCCAATAGTTTTACCTTACTTAGATTTAATTAGTTATCTTTACTTAGTTGTTATACTTACTAGGTTTTATTAAGTTACAGCTACTTTCAAGGCAAATAAAACAATTTACTTAATGTTTTGAGTGACATTTACTTAAAATGTTCAAGTAGCCTCAAAGGAACCAATGACATTAATAAACCAGTGCACTAATATGTTGCTAAAGTGCAACAACAGAAGAAGAAAAGAAAAAGAGTCTTAATAGACTTTTCACCCATTTCCTCCATGTCTGCAGTTATCTTTCACTAGTTGCATTCACTCGTTTCCCAAAGTCATCTTGAATGTTGAATTCTCAATACAACTGAAATATTTGAAAGAACATCACATAAGCTAACTTCATAAATTGATGTTGATTTTCCTAAAATGTGTTTTTTTAACTCGAATTAATGCATATTCATATTTATTTTAGAGCTACAGTAACATCTTCTGATTTCTCAACATGGGGACACCAGAGCTGTCAATCTATAAATTGGGGAAAAAAGTAACGTGCGTTACTTATTTGAAAAAGTAACTCCGATATTCTCTTGTAAATTAAAAAGTAATGCGTTACTTTACTAGTTACTTGAAAAAAGTAATCTGATTACGTAACTCGCGTTACTTGTAATATATTACCCCCAACACTGCCCGTCGTTATATTACATTTATAAAAAACTGAGAATGGCTCAGTAGAAAAACACTTACGTACAAGTATTAAAGTTACCGATATTAAAGTATCAAAAGTATGGGTTAATTTTAATTGCATAATTGACTGTATTGATGGCATAGGTGAATGGGCGGTTGCTAAAGGTAACTATTTATTTACTATTTATAACTATTTATTCACTGTTTATAAATAAATAGTGTCATAATTTATTCTCATGCTATTACAAATCTGTATTAATTTATTTATCTGCAGAGCATAAATAATCTTGGGATTGATCTTGGTTAATCTTAATAAACAAAAAAATTATTTAACATTGAATCATTAATTTTATTTAAGATTAAAATTAAGCTATACCAATGAATTAATTAATATATGACAACGATGCCGTATGTTTCATAGTCATAAACTCCTAGTCCTAACTCATAAATACTGACATTATTCATAAATGATCAAATTAAATGTTCTACTTGTCTTTTATCAGTGTAAAACGTAATGTTCGCACGTACTAACAGTACAACGATTGCAGCTGCGGGTCCCTAACGATAAATAATCACAGGGTGTTCCCTCGGTGCTCGAGTGAAGATTCATAAACTGAGATTGTATTGTGGATAAAATCTCAGTGTCTGAGCTGCAGAGCAGAAAATACATTCAGATACAATTATTTACAGGCTGACAGATACGGATTGGCACCCAGCTTCATTTTTTATAGATATATTAGTTTATATTATTTAATAAGCTGACAAATAAAATTATGCCTTTTTGTCTACTTGATATATTTTCCATATGACTGAAAAGTTTGGGACTTGAAGGCGCATCTTGTCAGCATATTTTGATAGCCTAATTACTCTAAAATCAAACATTTAGTATTATAACTATAGCGGGGCATGTTGTCACAGCAATTGTTTGAGAAGTACGCTGTTTATGTCTTTAAAATTTAACCAGTAAAACAATTATGAATATTTCTGAATTGGAAACAGAAAGGGAATAATTTGACTCTTGTCTGAATGTGATTTCTTGATTCATAAAAAAATAACTTACAGGCATGTATTTTTTTTTCAACACTCTGACAGCAGCTAGTGTTAGTAAGAAATGAATCTGTCCTTCAAACATCTGGAATTATTTTGGATATGCTATTATAAACATGTCCTAGTAACTATTCCCTTGTCAAGAGGATTAAAAACATTTTATTTATGATCATCACATTCACCTTATGAATCAGGCACAGAATGAGAAAAATAATAAGTTATACAATGTAAGACGATTTCTTGTGCTCATTGGGACAGTCAGGTTAAGGCTAATGGTGTGCAGACACATGGCGTTTCAGCTTGAGCATATCATTTGTAACTGTAAACTCTATCGATTTGCTCTAGTGTGAGTGATTAACCAATGATAACAGTGAAACATCAGTTTATTATTAAATACACTGCTGTACCTGAAACATCTATGCAAGAACTCTTTACATATAAATTAACAAGTATTGCAGAAATAACAATTGCCTCTTTTAAATTAAACTTAACATTAGAAGTCCCTAAAAGGGACTAAATTGTTAAAAGTGCAGTCACCAACCTGTTGATAAAAGATGCTTTGAAGAAATTAATGTATATATTGCTATTTAAATCAATGGAGTAATAAAAGTGCAAGTTGTTTAAAACAATTACTAAAATAAGAATTTAAATAGAGTATAGCATGCATAAAGTCTTACTAGAAGACAACTTAAACTTAAGTCTTAAAATAATGCAGGCATAGCAAAAATTATTTAGTATGGTTAGAAGTGCTGAACTGAAGAAGAATATGTACATACAATGATCCAAAGAATATTTGGACTCTTAAACCACAGTGAAACAAATGTCACTGCATTAGACTAGGGTTACCCTAAAAAAAAAAATAATAATAATAATAATTATATATATACACACACGATTACACCAAGCAGGGCTCTAGACTGCGACCAAATCCATTTTTGAGAATGTGCAAGTTAAAATTTGACATGATCACATTTGACCTCATACGTCATCCGCCCGGAGCTGCTTCTGTTTACAACAGTGAGTGCAAGCTACATTAAAGTGATTATTACATTTTGAATATCGATATTTTTCTTACAAAAACGCATTGATTCGCTACAGGAGGCCTTTGTTCACCCCCCGGAGCCGTGAGAGACACTTTTTTCTTTATGGATGAGTGCTATTTATTTAACTTCTTTTGGACTGATGCATGCAACACCCGCTGAGTGCCATTAAACAGCTTGAAAGACCAAAGACAATTTTTAATATAACTCCGACTGGATTCGTCTGAAAGAAGAAAGTCATATATACCTAGGATGACTTGAGGGTGAGTAATTTGTCGGCTAATTTTCATTTTTGGGTGAACTAACCCTTTAAGCCATCTAAAAATGTAAAGGTCGATAGGGGATTACTTTAAAATACAAAGTGTGGAGGGCAAGGATGCTGGTGGACAGAATGAGCCAACGAGCCAGCATACAGACTCTGACACAACTGATGACGAGAGCACAGGTGCGGACAGTGAGGAACCGAGTGAGGAAAACAAAAGATCCCTGATAGCACATATTCATCACGGAGATGTCTATTTGACGTCTGCATTATTTTTAGAGTGTTTGCTCATATCCAATACGTCTATAGGACATTTCCTATCAGATGTCAAATAGATGTAAAGAAAATGTCTTTAAGATGTTTATGATTTAGAATGTATGTAAAACTGACATCTTACAGACGTCTGTCAGATGTTTGAACACAGCAGACGCTTTCCAGACGAAGCAATCTTTAACAGACAACTTGCAGACCTATGTGTGCTATCTGAGAAAAGGCACTACTTGGATGCTTTTGCGATGTTGGTGTCACGTTTTACAAGAAAAGATAATGGCCTGTTGTGCTTACATCTATACACCTTTCACTCTCTTAGACTAAAACGAATGCTTGAAAGATGGATTCATTATAAGTCTTAATGAAAAGCACAACAACTAGCATGTATAACATTTATTACCAAAAACATAAAGCATACACCACATGCTGTGCCTTATCATTTCCTCGTCATTTTTGCCGTGCGCACCTTACGCTTATGTGCACCTGAACCGCGCACACTGATATGGAAAGCAAGGAAGATAAAAAAATGTGTGAATTTTAACATGTAAACAACACTTCAAATATGCGTTGTTTGTGCATTGTTTAGCCGTATATCACATGCTGTTTACATGTTGTTTGCGCGTTGCATAGATTTTTCACACGCAGATAGATAGATAGATAGATCAATTAATAAAAAATTAAAAAAGTGCAACCAAATCATACGCTGGTGCAACCATTTGAGAAAGTTGCACCAGTGATAAAAATTGAGTCTAGAGCCCTGCCAAGTGGCATTTACATCTTATAATAGTTTGTTAGGTTTCAAATAATCAATTAATACATGTGTTGAAAATGAAGATAAGTATTGTGAAACTTCCTGTTTGTTGAAAGTTAGTGTAACATCACGTTAATGTGATGAACTGACCAGTGTTGGGGAGAAGTTATAAGTAACAAGAGCTACATAATCCGATTCAGTTTTTCAAGTAACTATTAAAGTAACACGTTACGTTTGAATTTACAAGAAGATATGAGTGACTTTTTCAAATAAGTGAGGCCAGGTGCTTTGTTTTCCTGTGTATTGACTGACTGCTCTCCTGTCCTCATGTTGAGAGAAATCAGGAGTTGTGAGCGCTGCGTGAACATGATGTTACTGTAGATCTAGACTAAATGAGAACATGCATTTACTCATCTCACGTACATAAAAACAGATTCAGCATTCCTCAAAATCAATAAAAGAGTGAAATGCAATCCTGCAATAATTAAATGTTAAATAACACAGATATCATTCATGTTCCGATGATCCAATTCAACCATACTAATAAGAAAGTAACGTAATGTATTACTTTTCATAAGAAAGTAACTAAGTAACACAATTAGTTACTTTTTTAAGGAGTAACACGATATTGTAATGCATTACTTTTAAAATGAACTTTCCCCAACACTGTTCTTCATACATTCACTTCAATAATACTGGGATCAGTGGTCTAAACGTCACTGCAATACATTTCTCAGAAAATATACCACTTGGTTTGATATTTCCTTGTCTAATCCAATGAAATTCATACATTTTCCAGGCCACTGTACTGAAGTTACTTTGTGACAAATTCAACATGCTTTTGGCTCCGGGTCAGTCGACTAGTATCAGAGTCTTTTGAGCTATGTAACCCATCTGAACTTACAGCACAAGCAAATTTTGGGTCCTGTTGTGTTTTATCAAAGGTCTTCCTTTTTTCACTGCGTCCTCGTGCCCTATAGCCTACCTCCCTCATACCCACACAGGAATGACTTCTTTGCCCTGGCCTTCTCTTTTTTACATCACCAATACTGGCATTGCTGGCTGTTGTAGCTGTAGAAGAAACTTGGTCAACACTGTATGTGGAACCAACCGGATTGCGAATGTTACCGATAGCCTGCATGCGCCTCAAGTGGCTGCTCTCGCTCAAAGGGTCGCTGAGTCTGTGCTCTCGAGATCGGTGTCTGGGTTCCAGCTGATGAGCCCTGCTCTCACTGCTGCTCCTTTTAGGCAAACCTGAGACCTGGCCCTTCTTCTCCAGGAGTGGACTCAACCTTGTGTGGTGGTGGTAGGCAAAAGAGCGGCATGTGCCATTCAAGATGGGATACTGATTCTGGCAATGTGGGCAGGTACAGCCTGAAAGCTGAAGGGTGGGTGCACTGGCAAAAGAGGACAGTAACGCCAAAGGGAACGCACGCTGGCAGTGGAGGATGCATTTAGGAGAGCTTAGGCTGCGATGAGAAGTCGAATGAGGCAAATTGCGACCTTTAGGTAATGGGGCGTTGGTTTTGCTGCTGTCTTCTTGGATGGTTTGGATCTGATGCCATTCCAATTGCAATAGCCGGTCCAAGTATCTCTCAAGCTGCCCAGTGGGCTTGGGACGAGGAATGCCCTTGCCTTCTGTGTTCAAGTACACAGCTAACTGCAGGAGACTCCAAGCATTGAAAGGAGGCGGTAAGAAATCTGGATAGCTGCCTCTGAACTTGTTGTGCCCTCGACAAGAAGGTCTCGAGGCATGAAGGTCAGACGGATCTATGACCTCTGCACGTAGGTTGAGGTCAGGAGGAGAGATTTGAGCGGGAAGCGCAGAATACCTTTCAGAGTCTGAGAGGTCACTGGCACCGTCCTCTTCTCCATCTTTACTTTGTAGCGTACAGCTCTCGTCTTTGAGTCTGCACTCTGACGAGTCTTCTCTCTGAGCTTGTACAGGATGAGGGTATACAGGCCTTACACTTGAACTTTTACCCCTGCCACCACTCTCTTTTGCACCATGGCTGTTTTGTCTTTGCTGCCTCTCCTTCTGTCCATTTTTGGAAGTTGCGTGAGATTTGATCTTAGCGTTGTGTTGCCTCGAGGAACCAAAGGAAAAGGTTTTAAACATCTTTGAAATGTTTACAATATCTGGTCACACTTTATGTTGCCACATATTGACAATAATAATCATGTACTTGGTGTGCCATTATTTATTATTATTTATTCATTTGTAGCTGCTTCTCCTATTATAATAATTAGGCTATAGTAAAATGCAATATGCATAACTTAAACACTCTAATAAATAAATAAGTGTTAACCCTTATCTCAATTAATCATCTATGTGCCAAACTCTTTTCTAACCTGTCTGTGGGGTTCGCCATGATCAACATTTTGTCCAGTCTTGTCCTTCTTAACCTTTGCTGAGAGTCCTGTAGACATGAGGAAAACAGCACTTACGCCTACCATCATATGCTCAATTTATGATACTTTCTATTCAAAATCTATTTAGTTTAATTAGTCTATTCCATTTTTTTTTATAACCAATAAACCATTGCTGTCGAGTACTCACAGGTTCAGATGACAGGCTGATGCCATTATTCGGTGGTGGATGCAAAGGTGCCTTTGTGGTTTTCTTGCTTTCAGTGAAAAAGTCAGGTTAGTCAAGATCAGTTCAGAAATAAAAGCAGCTAAATTTGGTTCCAATTTTAAAGAAGCCTATCCAAACCCCTTCATCATAAATGGATGACCTGGCTGGCAGGTAAATAAAACATGACCTTAATTTAACTACGGTTATTTATTCTTACCTTGGTGCATGTCCCACTGCTTTAGTTTGTGTTCTATCAAACGAACGAAGCTTATTCTGACTATAATGCACAGTGCGCTCCTGTAAGACCGTTCCCATCTCTGGCATTCCTCAAAGCAGCCTGGATCTCCTAGAAGGGATGGAATCTCTCCTATTGCATGCACGGAGTCTTTTGATCCGAAGGCATGTCCATTTTTTCTTGATCATGTGAGGTTTACACCCACGATCAATCGACTGTCTCGCGCACTGCTCGCTTTAGTCCTCGGTGCATATGTACCGTTCTGTCCTAAATAATTCAGCGACGACCGGATCAGCCTGTCTGTAATGAGATGCATCGATCAAATTAGGCGGTCTGTTCGATTCTGTCTCATGAATTACACTAATCGATATGGGCTTAATTGTGTGGAGCTTGTAAATGAGGATATTTACACAGGCGTGTTTTCCAGCTGTGTGGATGCTGACGGGCGCATTGCTGCGTGGGAAATGTAGTCAACAGTGTCATGGGCTCACAGTGTAGCCTACACCATACTGTAATATGTCTGAAACCCCTTGTGCACTGTAAGCCAGCGACGCGACACACAAATGCAGTTAACCTGAAGCGCGCTATTTAAGTCAAGATCGTCGCGGCGTTTATTCACAAATGCTCGCGCATCGAGATTGACTGAGCGCTATGCATTGTTTACAGACAGCACGTGAGAATGTCTTATCTCATGTACGGGGGTCTAATAATAATCGTCGGTGTGGTAGTTCAGACATGGGATCAGTAGTTAAATGTCATAGGCGCTCGATCTCCGCGTATTTTATTACAACCACACTGGGTGGAGAGGTCGTCTCCACTTTAAAATGAATATTTTGTTTGTATATTAGTTTTAACTGCACATATCGAGGGCGTTCTTCCTCACAACTTACAGCAAGGTAAGAATCTGCTGGCAGATGTAGACGTACAACTGAACAGCCTTAAAGGGATAGTTCACCTAAAAATGAAAATGTGATGTTTATCTGCTTACCCCCGGGGCATCCAAGATGTAGGTGACTTTGTTTCTTCAGTAGAACACATTTGATGATTTTTAACTCCAGCCGTTGCAGTCTATCAGTCGTATAATGCATAGCAATGGTAACACAATCTATGAGAGTAAAAAAAACATGCACAGACAAATCCAAATTAAACCCTGCGGCTCGTGACGACACATTGATGTCCCAACACACGAAACGTTCGGTTTGTGCGAGAAACCGAACAGTATTTATATAATTTTTTACCTCTAATACACCACTATGTCCAACTGTCTTTGAGCGCGCGCACGGCATCCGAGAGCATTGCCATTATAGCTAGAGTTACTGTCATCTTTTTTGATGACATGTTTGTGAAATTTCTGATTTGTTATGACTGTCTTTATTTCTTTCTATAATTGTATAACAATAGATTATTCTGAACTGGGCTGTTGATGGTAAGATAAAGCATGTCTGATTTTAAATAGTACTGTGACAAAACACTAGATGGTGCTGTGAATCTTGAGGAGGATATTTGTAACTTCAATTCTTCCACATTTGATTAGGGGGTGGAAAAGGGGACAGTCAAGACAGACTGATGTCCACAATCTGAAATACTCACTATAAAAAATTAAATGATTTAGGGTTCCTCAGATGGAACAATTGTGTGTGTGTGTGTGTGCAAACATATATACACATATATATATATATATGTATTTATATATTTATTAAGAGGGACCAAAAGAGCTCACACTTAGAAAATCGAATATTGGCACTAAATTGAGTATCATAAAACTGTTTGTACATCTTTTCTTGCTGACTTTTTATTTAAATATTAATGTTGCACAATGTGCAGTATTAAATATTCAGTCAGTGCATGCTATGAACAGTTTCCTTTAAAATAACTGTATGACTGATTTAAAATAACTGTCAGCTGACATACCCTGTTGGAGACTTTCTGACAAGGATTTCATACAAGATGAGGGAGAAAAGCCCTCAATTTAGTGATTTTCTTTGCCTTGTGTCATCTTGTTTCAAACAAACATAAATGAATTGAGACATTACATGACATATTTGTGTGTTTTCTGATGGTTTTCTCCTTCCTGGAGTTTGAGTACAAAGACATTTAATGATTGGATCTGCATGCAGGATCATCAGCTCTGTTTGCGTTTTTTGGTCAGGTGTAAAAATATCATCGTTAAGCCAAAAGCAAAACGACTCTAAGCACACTTCACCTTTGACACACAGTTGCAGTGCATATCTGAAATGCTCTGTTTGATGTAGATTATTCAGCCTGACTGCCTTTACTATCAATACCTAAACACAAAGTATGCCGAGCATTGCCATTATAGCTAGAGTTACTGTCATCTTTTTTGATGACATGTTTGTGAAATTTCTGATTTGTTATGACTGTCTTTATTTCTTTCTATAATTGTATAACAATAGATTATTCTGAACTGGGCTGTTGATGGTAAGATAAAGCATCTCTGATTTTAAATAGTACTGTGACAAAACACTAGATGGTGCTGTGAATCTTGAGGAGGATGTTTGTAACTTCAATTCTTCCACATTTGATTAGGGGGTGGAAAAGGGGACAATCAAGACAGACTGATGTCCACAATCTGAAATAGGCTACTCACTATAAAAAATTAAATGATTTAGGGTTCCTCAGATGGAACAATTGTGTGCACACACACACACACACACACACACACACACACATACATACATACATATATATATATAACGTGATGTATTAAGAGGGACCAAAAGAGCTCACACTTAGAAAATCGAATATTGGCACTAAATTGAGTATCATAAAACTGTTTGTACATCTTTTCTTGCTGACTTTTTATTTAAATATTAATGTTGCACAATGTGCAGTATTAAATATTCAGTCAGTGCATGCTATGAACAGTTTCCTTTAAAATAACTGTATGACTGATTTAAAATAACTGTCAGCTGATGTGTGTGATAAATTAATCTTGGCTTGTTTATACCCTGTTGGAGACTTTCTGACAAGGATTTCATACAAGATGAGGGAGAAAAGCCCTCAATTTAGTGATTTTCTTTGTCTTGTGTCATCTTGTTTCAAACAAACATAAATTAATCGAGACATTACATGACATATTTGTGTGTTTTCTGATGGTTTTCTCCTTCCTGGAGTTTGAGTACAACGACATTTAATGATTGGATCTGCATGCAGGATCATCAGCTCTGTTTGCGTTTCAGTGGTGTTACAGAGAAATATTAACCGGGTGTTTTAGTGGCTCAGGCATCCATTTCTTCCGATGAAAGGAGACTGACCCAGTTAAGGAGCTAATCTCTTATGCATGAGCTTTAAATGCCTTCATTAATATTACGGTTTGTACTCACACGTTGAAAAGTATTAACTGTTCAGCAGGAGTTGGTTAAAAAGAAAAAACATGAAACAAGCATACAACAGACTCTTGTTTTTGATCTTCACGTCTTCTTTTTCATTAACCTCAAAGGGAAATCGTGTCAGGGTGCTGTAAAGTGCCTTCTCTCCATCAACTGACACCACTGTCCTGCTTTCTGCTCACCCACATACAACAGCTACTATGTCATGATGGAAAAGCTGTGACTTCTTCAAATATAACCTTACATTCAACCGGCCAAACATTTAATCTGTGTTTATTCACAAAGGAAAATGAGCACTTCAGGAATGAATGTTAAACTAATGCCAGATCGTCCCTCCTCACAGATGTGTGTGTGTATGTGTGTGTGTGTGTGTGCGTGTGTGTGTGTGCAAATAATGACTTCCTGAAAGCTTCTGTAAGACTATTATACACCACTATTATCCGTTTGCTACTGATAAAAAGCATGAAAGAAATTGAATCTGGCGTTCTCTTGAACACAAGACAAGAGATCGATTAGACAAATGAGCATAAGAGATTGGCCCATGAGAGTACAGGCACAAGCATTAGCACGTTTCGGCTAAATCGATTCATCATCCATCCATTCATTCAGAAAAGAAGACGAGACATTGTCGTTTGTTAAAAATCCAAAGCTTGTACTGTACAGACAATAAATAGTCCTTGCAAAGGTAAGACACGATTTCCGTTCCTCATACGGGTTTGTACTCACACGTTGAAAAGTATTAACTGTTCAGCAGGAGTTGGTTAAAAAGAAAAAACATGAAACAAGCATACAACAGACTCTTGTTCTTGATCTTCACGTCTTCTTTTTCATTAACCTCAAAGGGAAATTGTGTCGGGGTGCTGTAAAGTGCCTTCTCTCCATCAACTGACACCACTGTCCTGCTTTCTGCTCACCCACATACAGCAGCTACTATGTCATGATGGGAAAGCTGTGACTTCTTCAAATTCAACCGGCCAAACATTTAATCTGTGTTTATTCACAAAGGAAAATGAGCACTTCAGGAATGAATGTTAAACTAATGCCAGATCGTCCCTCCTCACAGATGTGTGTGTGTGTGTGTGCAAATAATGACTTCCTGAAAGCTTCTGTAAGACTATTATCCGTGGCTTAGGTTTGCTACTGATAAAAAGCATGAAAGAAATTGAATCTGGCGTTCTCTTGAACACAAGACAAGAGATCGATTAGACAAATGAGCATAAGAGATTGGCCCATGAGAGTACAGGCACAAGCATTAGCACGTTTCGGCTAAATCGATTCATCATCCATCCATTCATTCAGAAAAGAAGACGAGACATTGTCGTTTGTTAAAAATCCAAAGCTTGTACTGTACAGACAATAAATAGTCCTTGCAAAGGTAAGACATGATTTCCGTTCCTCGTACTAACATCTATACAGCTGATATGAAACTCAAGTTTTAGTAGGAGCCCAGAAACGTTCGGGGTGTCACTACAGCACCAACACTGGTGTGGGAAAAAGAGTTCGAAAGAGTCACATGCTTGAGCCCCAGCCCCCCACCCGCCCCCCTATTGGCATCAAAAGGCGACCGGTTAAAACAGTCCATTACAAAAAAACGAAAAAGTCAATGTCTTTTTTTTTTTTTCAAACAGTCTTCCACCGTCCCATTAGAGTCCCCTGAAAAAGAATAAAGGTTCAATAATCTACAGACTTGTAGCTGGACTGAGTGGAGTTTGGAGGGTTTTAGCTTCTTCAGGCTGAAGCTCCAGAGACATAGCCTCCAAGGTTCACTAGCGCCCAAATATCAGGCCCTCCATGGAGCAGCCATGGACAGCCTCCTGAGGTCTTAGAGATACCGTTAGCATATTCTTCACGGAAGAAACCTTGCTATGGTCGGTGGAACCTGCAATGCAAAGTGAGGAGACACCTGTAAGACACCCAAAAAGCCAACTATCATCCATCAAATGTGTATTAATAGAAGAGCGGTGTGTGTATGTTCCAGACAGAGCTCTGCGCAGCACAGGACTGGGACCTTGTTCAGCTATCTGTGCCCACAGAAATGAGGTCTAACGTAAAACAAACGTAAGCTGAACATGAGCAAGAATTTGTCATGCATGTGGGCAAGCGCTTAGGTGTGCTTATTCTGCAAATTCTGCACTTTCAGGACAGTGGAGATATGGCTATATTTAGAACAACCTCCCATTTTGATCTACTGTACTTCTTGTGTCCTGCGAGAAGTCATCTATCGTAGATGCGATGACGTTTTTGTGGTGAACAGTTATGCAAACACGGAAAAATATATAGAACAGGGCATGTATAAATACACGAAGAAAAAATGGAAACACACACTGACCTTGTCAGGTGTTTGCTTGATGCATGAACCTCCATTTCGTTGCTCTTGAACTCATTCAGCTCTTTTCGTATCGCCGCCTGCGAGGACGAAAAAACAAGAATGAGCTCCTGACAGTCACTGGACAACAGACACTCATGCAGCAGGTCACTGGAAAGAAGATCACCTGCTTCCCACCTGATGTTTTATTAATGATCTGTTCTGGTTTTGTTGACTTAACACAAGCTGCTCATGACGAGGCTCACACAGAATGCTAATGCGTATCATCCATTTTTACACATTTACACGTTTGTGTTTATTTACTATAGAAAACTTTGGGGTCCGTCAGATTTTCAAATATTTTAGGAAGAAGTCTTTTTTGCTCACTAGGCTGCAGTTATTTGATCACAAATACAGTAATATTGTGAAATATTATTACAATTTAAAATTGCTTCTTTCTATGTGAATATGTGTTAAACTGTAATGTATTTCTGTGATGCGCAGCTGTATTTTCAGCATCATTACATCATTTAAGTCTTCAGTGTCACATGATCTTCAGAAATCATAATAATATGCTGCTTTGCTGCTCAAGAAACATTTCTACATTATTAGCAATGTTGAAAACAGTCGTGCTGCTGATTTTTTTTTGCGGAAACAGTCATACTTTTTATTTTTCAGGATTCGCAGATGAATAGAACAGCATCTTTTGTAACATGTCTTTAATGTCACTTCTGATTAATTTTATGCATCCTTGCTGAAAAAAAATGCTTGAATAGTCCATATTTTGTCTAATATGAAAATACGGTCTGGAACTGTTTAATACAACTTATAAATATATAAATAATATACATCCTTTCTGTAGATTCCACAAATATTTCCAAAAATAGGCACATCAAATGTGAACTTCGCAGACCATCTGGGCCTAGATTTGATCAAATATATACATTTTTATTTCTTTATCATTTTATTAATGTGTTATATAATACTCAAGGTATTGTAGATCAACAAAACCTAGAATTATGACATGTCTTATATCAAATGCATCAGTGTGTGTTGGCCTGTAGGGGCCGTGTGTGAGTTCTAATGCACACACACCTTATCTGCAGCAGATAGTCTCGTCCAGGGCTTGTCTGCTCTCCTGTCGTAATCCTGAGCTTTGGCCACTTCCACATAGTCACTGAAACGGATCAGAATCTTTCTGTCCCGCAGCTCGTCAACGGTGGGCCGCTGGTTGAGCTGGAATAAGAGAGAGGTTTAGTCAAACAGCAAACAGATTGTTCCTAGTTCAATTCTGTATAGGATGAGCTGTGTTTCAAGCTGTTGTAATGCCGATAAAACACAAAGGCTATTGATAGTCCCATGATCCAGTTAAATCCAGTTAAAAGGATTCAGGTCATCCGTGTTATTATTAATAAATGCAATTATTTATTGACTGTTGGTGTCTGTTATTTCTGTTGCTGCAGTAATCCACTCAGGCTTGTGTGTTGCAATGATTTGACCACATTTAAGTGGCTTTACGTCAACACTCTTGACTTACTGCTTTAATAAAACATCAATCAATAATGTGCCATTAACTTAAGCATAATATGCGATATATACAGAGAGGAGGAATTTGTGATTTATTTCTCTTAAGAATTGTAATCTGGTCCAATTGTTATAAGTTGTTTTAAAACTGTCATTCTTTTTGGCATAGAAAGTTGGCTTTTGAGTGAATGCCTGGTATTACAGCAGTACTAGTGTCTTCCTCAGATGACAGAGTGAATACTGCAGGCTAAGCCGACACATCACAACAAATATATGTGTGTATACAGTATGTGTCTCGATCAGTGAGGTGTTTTTTGTCAGGATCCACATACCTTTCTGTTTAGCCTTTGCTTAATTTCCCTTCTCTCCTCTTGCTCTGTCTGGTCATTCCTCTCTGCAAATCCACCAAAAATAAAAATAAAAATCACAGATGAGAAAAAGCATGCACGCGGTTCACAGAGGTAACTTTGAAGTTTTTAATGCGGCACACTACATGAAAGGCTCGCTTACACTCCACAGCACTCATGTACTACTGCTGGAATATCTAGCAAGACGTTTCTTTAAGCTATTCCTTCCTCTAATGTCAAAAGTCAATGTATTCAATATGTATGTTGATTTTCTTTTAATATATATTAACAATAAACTAATATTCTAATGATTTCTTAAAACTTCTCATGGCTTGGCTCCATGTGCTAAAATCAGATCTCTTGAACATCTGCTGTCCAATCTAGCTCATAATGCCAGAGCGCCAGATTACAGCATTTCTTTAATAGGCTTTACCCTCTCAAAGCACAGGATAACATTGTTCTCTTGCATTTCCCTCTGTCAAATACGTGGATTATCTGAATCTGTGCTGCGAAGGACTTATAGCGTGGGAAAATACGGGACGCACGTGTCTATCTAGTATGATTGAACTACGATAAACCACTTCTGAAAGCGCATTTAATATTCCTGTCACTTCAGGACTCTCTCCTTGTTGCTCGTCCTTGCTTTGACTAACATCTTGTCTCAGATCCCAGTGTTTGGAGAGTGAGTGCATGTGGACAGGTGCGAGAGATCAGCCAAAGTCAGCAGACAGCTGCTCAGAGTCAGAAGACACAGGTGCCGCCGGCCCAAGATAGAGGCCTTAACTAAATAAACAAGCCCCGTCACAAGTGTGCTGAGGACATGCTAGAAATACACTATCCTACACAATAATACAATACTGATGAAGAAAAGCCTAGTCACAAAAACTTTTTTTTTTCTTAGAAATGTCAGTACTTATTTTAAGACTGTGAAAATCATCCCCCCGCAATTACACCGTTACAAAGCAATTAAATGAAATTACATTAAAATGACACTCAGTTTCACTCAGATTGTGGTCATGTCTGTGTAATCTCTGTCTCGCCCTCACAATCTGTAATCACTGATATTATTGTGTCGAGCTCCAGACAGATTGCCTCTATAATCTCTCGATTCCAGACGAGCTGAAATTACATTCACGCCTCCCTCAGATTTTTGTGTGTGTGTGTGTGTGTCTCCTTGTGGATTTGCTTTTGTCCTGAATTCAATTATTTATCAAATTTCAGATGACTTTTGTCAGAATTATACACTCTAAAAAATGCTGGGTTGTTTCAACCCAACTTTGGGTCAAATATGGACTAACCCAACCGTTGGGTTAAATTTTTACATGACATTTTTAACCCAAAAGTTGGGTTAGTCCATATTTGACCCAAAGTTGGGTTGAAACAACCCAGCATTTTTTAGAGTGTGGAGACTGTTACAGAAGAAATACAGAATATCACTTTTACCTTAGAAATACATTGAAAAAGATTTAGTGTTGAAAGAGTTTTCACTCAGAAATGTACTCACAAACAGTTACAAAGAAAAAGCAAGTGACACATTAGATGTGAAATTTTGAAGTAGAAAAACTGAAATAGCATTTTCATGTAAAACATTCTCCAATAACGCATTGCGTGCTCACGTTGTATGCGAATATAATTGCAACCTGATCTAGTTATGAAAACTTTATAACCTAATACTTTTATTTGCACTTCAAATAATTTTGTCTGGTGACAAAAGGTGAATAAATATAGAGTCAAACCAGTCACAGCATAAAATATAAATAAGTGGTGACACAGTTGTGACCGATCTGTTTCTATCTGATCCAACTCTTATAAATGTCTTTTGGGATATATCCTAATCCGGTCAAGATGATTTAGTCACATGAAATAACAGTTTTGTGAACAAAACCAGTTAATTTAGACATTAACACATGCAGTGCATGATTTGTTTTAATAGGCTACAGTACACTCTAAAAAATGCTGGGTTAAATACAACCCAGTGCTGGGTAAAATAGGGACAAACCCAGCAATTGGGCTGTTTTGACCCAGTGGTTGGGTTACTACCCAGAAGCTTGGGTTAAACATTTAATCAAACCGCTGGGTCAAAACAACCCAATTGCTGGGTTTGTCCTTATTTTACCCAGCACTGGGTTGTATTTAACCCAGCATTTTTTAGAGTGTAGTATATATGAATTTCAAGCAAAATGGTTATGTTATTTGTCAACAGGCAGGTAATAAGCATGATTTCCACAGGGGAAAAATAGGCTCACTCCAGCATCCCAGACGCGTAATCTCTGATCGGACAGGTGCGATACTCACGTTTGAGGATGTTCCGGCTCTCCAGCTCCTCCACCGCTGGTCTCTGACTCAGTCTCCTGCGGAAAAACACCAAAATCACGTTCTGGACCATTTTCATGCAATCTCCAAAGTGTCTGTGGCAGTCTCTGTTCAGCAGCGCGTGAGTGTCAGTGGGGATCCCCCGATCCGCGCATGTTACAGGGAAACCCTGCGTCCCACCTCGCGTCTAAACATCGCCGAGGACCTTCATGTCTAAAGCACTCCCACATCGGGGGATATCACGAGGTTTATTATTATCTGTGCTTGAAATTCCCTGATTTGACGGAATGAAGCGAACGGAACTTGCTCGTGCGAGCGCGGTTACTATACGAAAGCCTCATCGACGAAGAAATCCGTCGATAAGTGTCGGTTTGTGTCAAAATGCAATAGAAAAGAGTGAAAAAGATGAAGTGGAGACGGAGATGAGCATCTGCTCCTGAGTTCTCTGAAGTCTCAGAGTGCTGTGTGTGATACTGGAGATCCTTTACGCATCATTTATAAAGGGGGCGGCGCGTGCGGGAGAGATTCCCACGCACACTCAGTGCTCGCGCCGGAGGAATATGCTGCAGTCAGGGAAAATACAACCTCCATGGATGCTTTAATAGCGAAGCAATATTAATGTTATTCTCATCGCGCTGTATAAAGTATATACAGGCCAGTAGGCCATTTGTTGAGAGTGAAAAGCATCGGCGTTGTCATGTTGAACAGATACGCATCGCTTTAGTTCACTCAGTCTCAGTGCTTTGTATTTCGTGTTGGGCGGGGCTTTCCTATGCATATGAAATATATGCATGCAAAATTATGTAATCGTTCAACAAGCAATAATGTGCTTTTATGATATTCATAATGCCATAATGCTAAATGCTGCTCAAAATCTTTGAATTCCAAAGATGGCATTCAAGGGAATATCTCATACAGTGTTGATTATGTCAGCTATATTGCACCACAATTTCCCAAATTTGTTCTTCTTTTCTTTTTCGCATCCTTATGGAAAGGACATGCTCACACACTTTGAAAACAAGCAATGAGTTGTGATGGCATTGCAAAAAAAATAAAAATTTGACATTTGTCCAATGAAAAAAAACAAACTAATCTTGTTTTGTCTGATTGTGTTGTAAGATAACAATGGCTAAGAATAGTCCTTACACTGAAATGCACAATCTGCTCATTTATTGTAGACCACCTTGGGACATTGGGGCCCCTAGGTGACCACTTATATCACCTAAATGATGAAAAGCTTCATATCACTCCCTCACTGCTAGATGACAGCTGAAGTCTTCAGTGTGATCAACACTTTAATTGTCACGGCACAACAGAACATGATGCCTCGAACCATAAAGACGGCAGGCTTAAGGCTGACTTGCACACTGCCGTTAAAAAACACAGTTCCATATTTTTTAATCTCGCCTGATTGGCCCAGGTCCTGGAAATATTAGCTGTGGGGAGATTAAGCCGAGCCGAGCCATCCGGAGCGGAAGCTCAGCTGTGATACCACATTCACTGAAGCCTTTAAATGCACCCAGCGTGAGAAAAACGTTAATAATACTAGATAAATGAATATGGTTGAATTCCATAGGTTTTTCAGTAGCACTTTACAGTGAGGTTCCATTTGTTAACATTAGTTAACTGCGGTAGATTAATAAATACTGTAATAAATGTCTGGCTTATTGTTAGTTAACGTTGGTTAATGCATTAACTAATGTTAAGGAATCTTACTGTAAAGTGTTACCAGTTTTCCTAGATGGCTGAGAGGGTTTGCTCCTGTTAAAAAAACAAAAACAAAAAGACAACCTGAATACAGCCTAAAAAAATGCAGTGTAGCGAATCAGCTCATGGGGAAATATGAATAATTAACCATAACTAGTTATAATTAACTATTCATATTTTAGATCCGCTGTAGATATTTAGCTGACCTCTCAGGGTCAACTGTCTTGTCAATTCCAAGAACGTTAATTTCCTGGTTAAGGGAAATAACTTTCTTACTGTACAATTCTACAAGCTTGTAACGTAAATCTGCATGATTAGTGACTCCGGTTATGAGCAAACAATGAACACGTCAAGTGTGATACAAGTAAGGTTTTATTAACTACATAAACACTTAAACTAGTCTAACATACTACATAAACACATTAAGCTGGTCTAACATACACATACACACACACACACACACACACATACAGTTGGTATAGGAAAGGGTTAAAGTTTAACTCAGCATAGAAAGAGGCATAAAGAATGGATTTTATGGAACACTTTGCATGTATATTCAACAGATCCAAGCCTTCAGGGATACGTCAGATTCTGAGTTCAAACACACCTTTGTAAAAAGGTGTAACTGATACTTAATGTATCAATTAATAAGACTAAGTTTGATACTTAGCGAGTCTCGGCGGTCTGAAAGAGATTCCTGATGCAAATCTTAAAGCTTCCCGTAGATCTTTGCTGAATTCGGGTCGATGAAAAGAACCAGTTTGAGTCAGAGTCACTTGATGAATGGAAAGGACTAGGCCGAAGAAAGGCCTGGCACAAATGCTTTGGTATCCTGAAGCGTTTTCTCACATCTTCATCTGCATCTGACCGAACCACCGACATGGGCGGGTCACATGGAGTGTGGCCTTTTAAAGCCTGCAGAGATTCACGCCTCTCAAGATGGGTTTGTCCAATGAGGAAGATGGAATTTCCGAGCGGGAGGTGGCAATTGCTGGAGGGTTTACGACCCTTTGTTCTCGAAGCATGGTAATTTGCAAATGGACTTAAATCGAAATTATTAACGATTCTCAGGGCCCTAATATATATTGCCTATGTACCACCATATAATATACACGCTTGTTTCGATCATAAGAAGGCAAATTCATAGATACTAAACAAGGTAAGATTACATATAGTGAAAAGGGAGGATCAGGAATGGGTCCCCTCACAAGCATACTAAAATAGTCTAAGAATATCAAAGACAAAATACACAATGACAATAAAATACTCAATGGCCTGAAGAAATATGTGTGTTCATTCAAATAACGGTTTTCCTATGAATTAACTAGAGAACAGTCCATTTCTCTGGGCATTATGTGTCTTTCTTATGAGGAAAATGAGGGAGTTTATCCCCTGCATTCCTTTTAGGCCATAAAACCAGTGATATCAGCATTGGTTACCATGGAACCAGAGGCCTGTTCTGCCTTTCTGAGGTGTTAGGTGCATTTCGCGGGAAGGTTTGTTATATAAAAAGAGAATATATAGTGTGTTGGATTGGTCCAGACGCTACAGCAGGGTGTGATTTTTTTCAAAAGCTGAAATACAGTTAAAAGCATTTATTTCTGAAATATACAAGATGTGCTATACAGAGAGTGCTTATGGAGAAATGGCTATTCAGGGAAATGTATTTATCAGCTCAATACAACATCTCGAAGGCGTTTAGTTCTTTATAATTCAGAACACCCTGCTACTCGGGCGCACAGAAAGCCAGACGATAACTTCCTCCACTTATGATTTGATATATATGAAGTGACCCTCCGCTGTGTCAGAGCGATAAGCCGGTTACAGGAGCAGCCCCTGATGGGACTGTCAGTGAGTGGTTGTGAGTCAGTCTGGATTTCACGGCCTGCTATTGTCCAGTGAGCTGTGCCTTAATGCCCGACCCTCGCTCCGGTCGACCCAGTAGAGGGGCCGGCGATATGAAGGATGCTTGACTGCATGGGTGGCCATTATGGCTTTGATTGATGGCCAAGTGTGTCTAGGACACCCTGAGGGACAAGGATGCCAAGCAGCATTACAAAAGTTTAGATCCATGCTAAGGAATAGTTTGAGCGTTTATGTAACTTCCAGGGTGCTTCTTCGGGTGCCATTTGTATTCCCGAGTGCGTGCTAAAAATCAGATGTACGAGAGAGATGAATGAACTGAAATCTTGTTTTGTTTTGTTTCTCTAAGACAGGTAATATTGCACTGTGCCATTTACAGTACGTAATGAAGAAGCCATCTATCCTATTACAAATAAAAAAAAGAAATGTTAACAAATTGTTGTTGAATAGTATATTATAGCTATTTGTTGAACATCATAAAGATGCAACATCATAAATTATTTCATCTGGATTTTTACTGTATGTTACTATTTCATTTGCATTAAACGCCACAGCAACACAAGCTGTTTGAAACGATCCTCTCACATTCAAATCATGATGTATGTCAAACAGAAAGGCAGCCAAATATCAAGCCATTTTCAAAATGCCGTACCTACTATAGTAAATATATAAATAAAGGCTTAGACATGAAAGCAATTTTATTCTAGACTCGCTTTCAATAATTCATCAAATCTCTCGGCTGACCCCAGTCTGCTCTTTAGAACAGAGCAACATGTGAGACAAAGAGCTGGTGGCCTCCGTCTGTCCCTGCATAACCCACACTAGGAACAACATGAGGTCTGATCTTCAAACGCCTCCACATCTAAAGTGTGATCCAGTGTGAGCTGTGCTCCTCTTCTGATGTACTTCAGAAACGTGTGACAGCTGTCACAACAAACTCAACCGAATTACAAGAAAATGGATTTATTGGCTCGCTTTTAAGAAAGGACGATTGGCTTACCTCACATGCATTACAAATACTATATTTTCTTCATTCTTCAAGTTGGGTAAATTGAAACCAAACTAGATACTAATTGCTTCATGCATTATTTTGACCCATTCAGCTCTTTCCTTAAATAGATTGTATCCTCATGTGGCCAGAACTGGGAATGAACACAAATCGATTAGCTATTGGGTTGAAACAATGTCTGCCATAGGAGGAACACAGCAACTCAGCCCTTTCCAGTGATTGATTTTCCAATACTGGGATTTGTATTGGAAGCAGCTCGGTGAATTGGTGCTATATTAGAAGAGTACTGTATTACGTCTGTTCAGCTGACAAAACATCACACATTTCTTGTTTGCTATTTTGTAAATTTTGTCAAAATATATACCACTTTTTTTCATCCTTTTTAAAATAACATGCACAACTCGATCGTTGACAATGGGAAAGGGAATGTATATTAGGAAACTTAAGAAGGTCAGTTTAATTTACTTCTTGAAAGATTAAAACAGAATAGAAGATTTTGAAAGAAGATCTGGAGTATGTAACTCTGATGCAATGGAATGTGGGCAGGCTGTGTATGGTATTGTGCCTCTGATGACTCAATTAGCAAGTGTATTCAAATGTAGATATAGCGCTTTCACTGTAGGATGGCAGCGTCTAATTCCAGGATCTGGGCTTTTCTTGGAGTTGTAAAGGCGATGTCACATCCGGTGCTAGCGTCATGTGAAAGATATATAATAGTTATGAAGTCACCATGGATCCCAAGCATTGGGCCGTTGCCTGGTTGCGAAGTTGAGCTTAATTTAGCAGAGAGAATACAGACCAGGAACACACAGTGAATTATATTGCTGCATGTGTAACTGGTGCAAACACAGTCACAGTCAGGAGACAGCCTGAACGCCCATTACATCAGAGCGCAACTCACGGTCATGACTCCGCTTCAGTCCTGCGGTCCTGTCAGAATGTGTGATAGAGACACGTTTGTTTTGTGGGATG